TGATGATGATGGTGATGAAGATGATGATGGTGTTATAATAATGTTGATCAGAATGCACGTACCTCTGGAATGCAGAGTTCTTTAGTCATGGTATCCAACTTGTTTTCAAGAGTCTGGTTCAAGTCATTCAGTGTTTCTATTTGCCTTCTTTTGACATTAATCTCATCCTTGTAACTTTCGGCCATTTCTTGGGATTCACCCTTTTGTCGTTCTAGAGCAAGGCAGCGATCTTTGGCTTTTCTAAGTTCCTTTTGACATTCTTCAAGCTGACTTGCCAGCGTTTCTTTCTGCCTGGTGATGTTTTTAAGCTGCATCTCAGCCTTGTAAGCCTGCAGAACCAATGAAACTTTGATTAATATGCTACAACAGAGAATAAGGATGAAAGGTGAGCATTTTTCGAATATTCTGCTTATGACAAGATAACTGTATTTAGCCAGAACTGATTGCCTTCTTGCTTTCATTATTTTCTGTTTCTTTCGTTTGTTCGTTGGTTTGTTCGTTCGTTCGTTCGTTCGTTCTTTCGTTCGTTTGTTCTTTCTTTCTTTCTCTTTCTCTTTCTTTTCTTTTTTTGAGTTTGGCAGTCACATTGGTGCGAGAAACATGTGCCTTGTAAATCCCTTCGTTTTTATCAAGGACAATTTGTCATTAAATTGAAATGAATTGTTTTTAAGCTACTAAGTGGCATATGTATGCATAGATATGATGTCATATACCTTTACGTTAGCGTTTTGTGTTTGTGTCTGCAATTCTTTTTCATTGTTCTTGTACTCTGTTTGCAATTCTGCCATGTGTTTCTGTAAAGATACAATATCAACATGAAGCGCTTCTTTTTCTTCCATGGCAACCCTGTAACTGCTTTCTAGTTGTTCCACCTCTTGTTTCACAACATCTAACATGCTATTTTCTTCTTCCTTGGCTGCAGTCAGTGACCTTAGTTGACCAGTGCTTCCTAGCTTCTTCATCAAAGAAGCAACTTCCAACTCTAAGTTCTTTTTCTCTGTCTTAAGTCTTTCACTGGTAACTGTTAAGGCCGATATTTCGCGAGCTTTTTTCTCGTTTTCCCATTCTGCTTCAGCTTGCTTTCTCTTTACTGCCGCGAGCTCTTCTTTGTACTTTCTCGTTTGTTTCCTAGAAATACGGAATTGCTCTTCGATGACTGCCTTTTCTTTCAAGAGGTCGTCAATTTTCGTTTGACAATTATAAAGCTGTAAAGAGCAAGGGAAATAAGTTAGAAATAATTTAGCGTTATGGAAAAAATAGTTAATTGAAAACCGATCATAGATACCCCAAGCAAAAAGTCCATAGTCAAGCTTTAAAAATCTTTAGTTTTTTCTATTAAAGCGGCTGTAATCTGTATTCACAAACCCTGCAGAAGAAGACATGCCATTTTGTCAAATAAAACCATATCTCAATTATTCAAAAGTACAATGGTATTTTTGTTGGGGGGCATGGTCATCTTTACAAACATCACCAGTGTTGAGGCGATGCGATTCACACTTTAGAAGTAAGCTGTTAAACGAAACAAAGCTTTTGCTTTCCTACGAATTGTATTGTCTTTTTATTCGCATTAAACCCTCGTTTGTTTAACAATAAGATGTAAAACAATACAAGACAAGAGAGTTATCTAAAATATGCAAGATTTACAATAGAAGGAAGGAAAAATGATGGTACGCCTCAATGGAAGCCAACTAAATGTTGACAACCAAAAAATGTTCCTAACCAAAAATTTCCAAAAAAAATTATCCTAATCAACTTTCAAGGTCTTTGTGGCAATCGTAGACTATATTTTGGCATTTTTCAATTTCTTCACGTCTGTTTTTATGTAAGTTTTATAGTTGACTTTTTGAACGAAAACACGAACTGCTATAAATAAATCATATTACGAGCACTCTGTTTTCACTCCCAAACAAGCAGTGGGAGAGACTGATATGCAGTGTCTCCAAAGATATATCTTTTTGTCGCAGATTTTGTTATACATCAGTATTTTATTCAAAAGATATCTTCTAATCAAAGCAAATAAACTCAAAGTGTTTCATACCTCAAGATGATGTTCTTCGTGCACTTCGTTTAACTCGGCAACAAACTTTTTGTAAAATGCTTCAAAATTGCTGAAGGTTTCTTTGGTCGTTGCTAGTTGCTTCAGGGTGGAATCAGCTGCTTGTACAGACCTCTCGAATGAACAGGTTAAATCAGACTGCGCTGGAATGCCTTCTGATGAGGTCTCTGGTTCGCTCATATTGTCGATAGCTTGGCTATTTTCGTGGTACCATATTTCACAAGCAGTCTCTTCAGTCTAGAGCAGAGGCTATAAGGATAGTAGAAATCCTAAGAATAGGGAAGTGTCTAAAAACGTAGGGATCTTATCTGGACAGTGGTAGCTGACATTGCATGCTGTGTAAATCGTTCGCACCCAAAGACGAACAGTCGATGAAACAGCTGAATAATACGCCCGAGTGATGTAATTCCAATAAGGAATTCCCCTGGGATGCATACGACAACAAGCATGGCCGCCCAGGAAGCAAAGATGCATGGGAATCTGGTGGAAAAATAGGAATTAGAGAAATAGGAAAAAGTGAAACTTTAGGCAGCTGTGTAATAGATATTAGATGACTCACAATCTAAAAGAAAAATTACGGTTAAAGTTAGGAGAAGTCATCTGATTAATTTTCCTACTTTTAAGATTTTTCAAAGTTATACATTATTGCAGTTTTAAATGACTTTTCTGACAGGATGAACGAATTTTATTCTCATTTTGGCAATCTTTTTCTTCCCATTTCCAGTGCAATTATTGCCATTCCCAGTCCAAATCCCATGCCTTTCTAAGTCCATCAAGCTCCCAGTACATCAAATTCCCATTAAAAATATCGAATGAATAGTGTATAACAGAATCCTATTGAGTACATCCAAGAGACTATGAAACATCAAATACTCTCCCCACGATCGCGACATCAATCTCCATGTTGTCTAGTGTAAACCTTAATAGCCAATATCTCCAACCCCATCAAGATAAGATTTTATGAAAAACAAGCTTTCGATGTAGCTAATGGGGTTCATAGACGAAATAATAAGAACACGACTGTGCCTGTTATATAGAAAACACCATTCGTACATTTTATTTGCAGTGCTATATTATGTGTACTTTAGTGAAATTATCTAAACGATAAGGTCGCTATATGTAAATCTTCAGTGTATACAGAAGACCCATGCCCGCACATGCGCCATTATGGACCGCATTTACACTATAATACGAAGTATATCGTACTAAGATCTTATCATTATTTTCATTATTATTATCAAATTATTATTATCATCATTATCACCATTATCAACCTCATCATCATAATCCGTCATCATCATTATTATTATCATTATTATTATTATTATCATTATTATTATTACTATTATTATTATTACTTATTAATATTATTATTATTGTTGTTTTTATTATTGTTGTTGTTGTTATTATTATTATTATTATTATTGTTACTATTATTATTATTACTTATTAATATTAATATTATTATTATTGTTGCTTTTATTATTATTGTTGTTATTGTTATTATTATTATTATTATTATTATTATTGAATTCCTCGAAGCTACCAATTATCGAAACATTGTTGTGTACAGTGGAAAGATCAGAAACTTCAACTGTACTGAGAAAACTGCGAATATTAAAATTAATGAACCTCGTCATTCTCGTTGGTTTTGAGCTGCTCACAGATGTACTTCATGAGTATAAACGGAAATAATTGGAGTATACGATTCTCTACTGCCTTTAGCATAAGACTTAATTCTACCAATAATAGATCCTAAGAGCTAGCTGAGAACTCCTAATGGACCCCTCTCGTGCATGATTGACAGGTTGTGAACGTAATCAATAATAAGTGCAATTGTGACTCGTTCCTTCCTTGATTAGCACTTGTAGCTGACATATGAAATGCAACGACAAAGTGGGCAAGGTCTGGGTTTACTGATTAGATTCCAAGTTGAGCACTCGTTATTACCCCTCGGTTCTGGTTAGACGCGGCGCTAGTGACTTTCTTTCCTACAGGTCTTTTAAAAAACCTTCTACGATTGCTATCAAAAGAAATAGCCTAGATTAAACTTCCTGAATGAATGAAAGTGATATCAGAGGATATCATACGTCGGGATCACATTGAAGTAAGTTTTTCCAGTGGATCGCGTGGGCAGACGAGTGGCCAGTACGCGCTAAAGCCAGAGGGGACATTTGTTTAAACATTCAACTTCGTACTCAACAATCAAGCAGTTCCGAGATAGCTGACTCTCGCTGTCATTTTTGAACTCTTTTTACATCTTGGAATTCCCACAACACGAGAGAATGCGCCAAGAAAATTTGACTCTTATCGGTTCCAAGCAGAATGACTCTTCTGGGAGTTGGAGAGAAGAAGTTGTTATATCCCCGCTTGGGAGATGGCTTCTGGTTTCTGTGCTTGCTGCAACAACAGTCGTTGTTTTCGTCGGTAACACTCTAGTCCTTATCGTGCTTCACAAGCAAAGAAGGACTGCAGGTCAAAGAGTTATAAACATGTTTCTTGCCAACTTAACATTGATAGATTTGTCTGTGTCATTCATTGTTTTACCCCTTTCCATGACTACATATATTCATGGAAGTTGGCCGTTTGGGGAGACTTTTTGTGAGATTAATGGATTCACGACGATGATTATTGGAATATCAGGCATTCTTACTATGACTGCCATTGCCGTCGACAGGTGAGGCCCTGATTTACTCTGCTTTTTTAATTCACATTCATTGGATCTTTTTAAACCTAGCGTTAACTAAGACAAAACTGAATTGTGCAGCAAATGATCTTGTGGTGACTCTAGAAGTCGTTTGTTGGTTTTCTCGTGCACTTCGAGGGTTTTTCTCCGGGTTCTCCGGCCGTTTTCCTTCCTAGCAAAATCAACTCGTAAATTGCAATTCGATCTGGCGTTGAATTCTTTATAGCCATGTGCGTCTGGATTGGGAGAGCTGAGCAATCACTGACCCCCTATATGTTCGACGAAATATATTTTACTTAATGCTTTTTGATTTTATTGTATTTTACGAAAAATGACCAAGCTCGTTACACTAACTATGGTTTTCCCGCCATGTCAAAGCAGACTTACTTATAGGTATCGAGATAGTTAGATTTCATGTCCAAATCAAAAAAAGAAAAAAAAAGCCATCATAATTTTGATTGTTTTCTTCTCAATTTATAACATTTTGTAGTTTTCCCATCCATTCTTTTTCCTATCCCACTTTTGCAACTTCCCATGTTATAAATAATATAGTCTAAACCAAGACAAAAAAAGCGACAGCATCGTAAGTTAAAAAGAGTTTTTTAGCCGGTTTTTAAACATAAATATAGGTTAACTGAAGAATGAAGTTCGTTTTCCAATTCTAAATTCCAATTCGATCATGGAACCAAGGCCACAGGTTTCTTAGCCACTGGCTATTAAAAGCTAACCTCGTATAAACGAAAACAAAGGACTGTTTTTTAAAACAAGTGGATGATAGCTAGTAGAGTACTAACGTGGACTGCGTCGGTGTTTCTGAATTAAGCAGTAGGAACTTGTGGATAGATTGGATTACCGTAAGAAGCTTAGTGAAACTGACGTTTCGGACATTAGTCCTTCGTCGGAGTAAATAGAAAGAAAAGATGAGAAGGGGTGAATAAATACTAAGATGGAAAATAAAGTGACCAATGAGAAATCAGCATATAAAGAAACAGAAGGAAACAAAAGGATCGAAAAAACAATAAGTGAGAAATGGAAAGCGAAGCATGACTAATAAAAAGTGAAGCGTTCATTCATCCCATGGGGACTGATGGTGCCGAGTGAGTAAATAAGTCGCATTTCTACAGTTTTGCGTGATTACCGCCTTGCAATAAACTTAAACCAAAGGCAATTATGTTGGATTCTGAGTGATTAGCAGAATTAAAGTGACGGGAAACTGGTTTAGAAAGATCTTGTTTACGAATGTCATACAGGTGATGTCTTTTGTTTCTTCATACGCTGATTTCTCATGCTTCGCTTTCCATTTCTCACTGATTGTTTTGTCGATCCTTTTTGTTTCCTTTTGTTTCTTCATATGCCGATTTTTCATTGGTCACTTTATTTTCCATCTCACCCCTTCTCATCTTTTCTTTCTATTTACTAAGACGAAGGACTAACGTCCGAAAAGTCAGTTTCACTAAGCTTCTTACGGTGTTTTTAAAACAGTTTAATTACTAGTTATCTATATTATAAATATTTTTTATTTTTTGACGTAAAAATCTTCTGCCATATATGAAAGGGTTTTTTTTGGCGTAAATTAACCCAACATCACTCTGCTATCAATCCTAAGCATGGATTACAATTAGCTCAATATTTATTGGATTTTTCATTGGCACGAGAATAGATTAACTTGATTGCTATGTCGTTAATAACAAGGCCATTAAAGTATGACGTAACATTTCTACTCCAAAAATATTAAAATTAAAAAAATTGGGATTAAGTGAAAACAGAAAATACTAGAAGACTTAAAGCCGAAAAAAATACTTCTAAAAGAAAATAGTTTAAAAATTTCAAACTAGCTAGTTATAAACAAAAATGAAATCAAATTCGTAAATTAACTTGAACGACATTGAACATGTTACTCAGTGTATTTAATGTTTTTTGTATCCGGTACGTAAAATAACCGTCAATTTTCCTTTTTAATAAACCTACAATCATGTAGCCCTCTTTCTCTCTTTCTGACAGCTCAACGTTTGCTGACAGGCTGTCTTATTTGTTTTCGCATCTTAGTTTTTTTATTTCAGAGTTCATTTACTTCATTTCATTTGCCCAGAGATTTACAAGTAACTTTAATAATTGCTGTTTTAGCTTACGCTGTCTTCGTTGTGTACTCAAGTTTATTGAACGTCTTGAATCACACCCAACAATATCACACAAATTTGACAAATTACAAAAATGAAGACAAACCGAGGCTGACTGCGAGAGATTTTCTTTCGGAAAACTGCAAGTTCTGTACAATGTAGGACAAAAGCTCACCCAAGCAATATCGGTGTTTCTAATGAAACAGTAATGATAAAAAGGTAAATTATACACCGTGAAAAGATGAAAAAACTTACTGACGTTTCGGACGCTAGTCCTTCGTCGGAGTATAAAAGAGCAATATCGCACAAGTTTGGTGCATTCACGATTTCTAATAACGAAAATGAATTAAGAGAAATATTAGTGTAACTTTGACACGATTTTTTGAAAATAAAAAAAAAAACAAGTTCTTAATAATGCACGATGATAGTGTACTAGATGAGAATTCGTGCCTCTGCGTTCCTTCTTAAATTAGCAAAACACAGCTGTATAATATTGAAGATTTTTAAATTAACTGCAAGACTGAAGACGTCTCATCAGATCAACGACATTTATGGAATAACGAATATGGCAATTATTCGGTGAACAAATTTCAAATCTGAATGCAAGAACAAAGCGAAAGAAATATCATAGTTAGACTTAGAAGTAAGTCGCTACTTCTTTGTCGAGTGTCGTGCAACAGACGGAAAATACTCAGTTTTCAGCAAAACAAACGAACAACAATATTTATACTACGCATACGATATCACAGAGATTCATCGTAAACAAAATATAATTGCGCAATTTTAGAAATATATATATATATATATATTATATATCTAGAAATTTAAGAAATGCGTTGCTACCAAGAGAATATGAACATTCATTTTCTCTTGTTGCTACTTTTTGTCTAGTTTACATGACATTAGAGAGTTTTAGATCTACGTTCACGGCAAACGTGAAACGTCAGTTGACCGGTAAAAAATTCTTTTAAATTACTGAAAAAGAATCGCAAAAAAGTCCAAGTAGTAGAAAAACAAAAGAGTATTTGCGCTTGGTGAGAAGGTTTGTAAAAGGTAAAGTAAAATACAGGAAAACGATGAAAACGTGGTCACGTTTGCCGTTTGCGGGGAGAAAAAAAAAGTCAATCTAAAACTCTCTATTAATGTAGGATGATCCTACTTGGCTAGGGTCAATTCCTTTGTTTTTGGTGTCCTCTGAACAAACGATGAAAATAGTGAAAAACAATGACTTTACAGGGTTCCGCTGACTCCATAAACGGAACTACTTAAGTCAGTCACTCAAGGAGAATTACTACAGCTTAGAAAGTACTAAACKGAGGATTTGAAATAAGACTCTACGAAGTGTTTAAGGATGGAATTACGGATATCTTGTTTAGTGCTTCAAAAGCTAAGAAACTCGATTGATTATAATTAGTCTAAACAAATGTGTGTTTGGGACACTTGGAATGGATATCGTAGTACAGAGTTGTCGCTTAGGGGATAGGACACAAACCAGTGCCAGAGCGCACCGACAAATAAACTTAGTTCATAGCAATCGAAGGAGCTAAGAGCGGCTACGAGGATTATAGTTAGACTAAACGAGTATGTGCGCCGTGTCACTGCGGATTGATCGGAGTAAGAATCTGTCGCTTATAGGGGTAGCACACAAACCAGTGTCAGAGCGCACTAAGAAACTTAGTTCATAGCAAATGAAGGAGCTAAGAGCGGCTACGAGGATTATAGTTAGCCTAAACGAGTATGCGGGGAGCGGATTACGTATCTGTCGCTTATTAGAGGATAGCACATCAATCAAACAAACCATGCTTGATCGTCAAACAGAATTGTTCGTTAATAAACCACATAGTCAGTCACTTTCCATTTTCTATTATTCTCCATTCTTTTGGAAATAAAAAAATTTATAACGCATGAGGAAAAGTTGAAAAATAAGAAGGAAAAATGAGAAAATTGGAGGAAAAAATACTATGAAATGAAAATAATGAGAAAAATCAAAAGAAAAGATAAAAGTAAATATTGTGAGCAAGCGAAACAAGTCAAGTTTTCAAAAAAAGCTTTTATGAAGAGTAAAGGTAATTTTCAGGTCTGTTAGGTTTCCGTTCGAGACATCACAAGAATCAGATAAGTTCATAGTCAGTACAGACAAAAACAATAATCTGAGCTTTTCCTTCCTAAACTTTAAATGTTAATGCCATTAGCAAAACGTGAGGGAATCAAAACACGGAAAAATGAAAATGCTACTTTGAATGCTGTACTTCGCAAATCCTGACAAAAACGACTACAAATGCCGGGTCAACTGCCGTGAGTGTTTGGAGAGCTCTTTCTAAATTAAACAAGTAAAAAGCAATGGTCAAGAGTTTGATGTTAACTTAAGTAGCGAGCGGTAAACTAAGTGAAGTGAGTTTTCAATGCGTTGCACCGCGTAAAAAGGACTAAGTTTGACTACAAATAAAGTGAATGAACTATTGTTCCGCTTCTTTTTAAATAACGACGTTTTTAAAGCTTTTCTTCCATTGCTTCCTTCCTTTCCTCATTTTTACTTAGCCTTAAAAAACGTTCTTATACCTCAAATCCTTGTGACGCGGTAAAAACTTCTTTTCCCAAAAATGTTGGATTATTTTGCGGGTAAGTAATAACGTAAATATTGAGAATTTAAAATTATTTGTTATAAGAGTAAACAACTCAAAACTAGCTTTTATCCTAAGTGCAATTTCCATACCGTGGCAACACCACTCTTGTTTTCATTATATAACCTGTAAGTATCGCTTTTACGAATTCAAAAACGATAGAAAATTTGATTTAAGGCAAAACGTCATAAAGTTTTCATGTAATATTTTTAGCCTTTATCGACTCGCACCTGCTTTGCCGACAATATCCATTGTACACTTAAATTACAATTACGAAATTGGTGAGTTAATTGATATGATGTTCAAAGAAACGGGAAAAAATTAAGAATAAAAATACTACTATATTATGACCAATATTTCACAAAAATATGCTTGTTCGGTAATACTATGATTGATATAAAACTCTTAATCTAAAAATTACTTCCCTGTGAGGGATTAGAATGAAAATTGTGTTCGTAATAAACACCATCGTAATTGTGTTTTTTCCCTTGTTGATTTTGGTTAGATTTCCAGATAAATGAGCCATTTTTCTAACAATCGCGGTGGGATTTTTAATCATTACAAACTAACCCACGTAGCTAAAAATATCTTAAATTTTGCGCGTTTGAGGGTTTTATTGATATGATAAATTAAGTAAAAGAGTTAACAGGGGGACTTGAGTAAGATTAATTAAGCCGCTCTCTCGCCGCCAACGCTTTGATAATTGAAGAAAGAGATTTGAGCGCCTTCCGCCCTAAAGTAGGGCGGTAATGATCAAAATTGAGCTAAAAGTTGTGTGCAACACCAATGTGATACTAGAAAGTAATTTCGTAATTTCGCAAAAATGGACCGCGTAACAAAAATAGATTTGTGAAGTGCTTATGTTTCACGTAGAAGTAGAAATATATACGGTTCTACTTCTGTAAACAAAAGTCGTGACGAGAGGCAACCTGAGGTTTCACAAGGAATCACGTTGTGTACACACTCTAGTGAAATTCTTTCGGAGGGTAACACTCTGTGTCCATGAGGGTAGAATGAATACTTCCATGGATAATAATAAGATAATAAAAAGCACCAGTAGAGAAAAACACACTGTTTATAAATATTGGCATTGTGGGGTTAATGTAACGACCATTTTAAAAGTAGATTGTTCTAATAGATTTCTGGTTGTTTTTGCGTCATAGTTCGCCCACCTATGCTACTCATAAAGTTCATTTGTAAATAAATATTGGGCACACCATGCGACATCGTGCGCAATGTTTAATAACTTGTGCGTGTGGATGTACCTAGCACTGACTAGAGGGCATTAACAGGGGTGGATCCCGGAATTTGGTAGGGGTGCCCCAAATGAAGAAATGTATATAGGGATATTATGCATCGTAAATGTTTCTTTTGCTTCAAAAAATCTAAGAGTAATTCACTGTTGGAGGGGGGGACGGGNGGGGGGGTGGGGACGGGGGTGCTGGAATCGCCCTTGATTAAGCAACAGACATTGCTGGTATCGTTTCGGATTAGAATAAGGTATGTTCTCTCTTTGCAATGTCGCGCGCATATCATGTCTTCAAAGCAGATTTTCACATTGTTAATCTTTTTTTTTTCAACTAAATATCTTATTAACCGCACACAGCGCACCGACATTTTTTTCTTCCATCGTAGTTTTCACTAAAAGCATGGTAATTTATTATTTATTTAGATATCGTGTCATCGTTCTACCAGTTGGTCAGCGGCTCAGAACCAAGCACGCATGGGCACTGCTTGCCTTTATATGGATATGGTCAATAATCCAAGCTACCCCTCCCCTCTTAGGATGGAATAAGTACACATGGGGCCAAAGCAGCGCATTGTGTCGGGCCTCCTTCACGCGTGGTGACGGATATATAGAATCAGTTTCACTTGTTAGCTATATTATACCCCTTTGTATCATGGTATATTGCTATGTTTGTGTGTATCTAAGAGTACGACAGAGTAGACGGAGAATTGAAATGTGGGCTCGGTTTAACCAAGACGTCTGGCTAAAAGCCGAGGCTCGTACTGCGAAGATTGTCTTTACGGTGCTGACGTTCTTTATCGTGAGTTGGACTCCGTTCATCGTGATTTACGCTATCAATGGCGCTGGTAAATACGTAATATATATAATACAATATAGGCGGCCGATCTGCATCTTGACCAGGTCCTACAGATTGACGCAAATATCGTATACTGCTTATCGACTGTTCTTTGAATTTTTTTAAATTACATTTTCTACTAAGTAAAATTTTTGAGATTGGAGTGAATTTGGTCAATCCATGTGAGAGTTGAATGCAAATAAGAAGATTTTGCATTTGGTTTACTGCATAATTATCATAATTATCATTCAAAATTATTCATAATTTGATAATAATGAATAATAACAAAGCAGACTTTGACAAGGCTATAAGATGCACTACTAAAAGGCGAAGAGAACATGTTTTGCAAAGGTTAATGCGATTAAATTGAGCTTCGTACTTCGAGCAAATGTGCCAAATGTCAAAACATACCAGTCAATTTTAAATGATGCGGCTCAATTTAAAAACATTTCAGCTATTTTTTAAACATAAATGAGAGATAAATTACCAATATATCTACCTTGGGTCTTCTCATCTCTGTGGTAGAGCGTAAAATCCAGAAAATGTTTACTCAAAAGCAGCAAAATGTCCGCCATGTTTGTCTTTGCTTCGGCAAAAGTTTGAAAGAAAGCAGCGGTGTTTTTGACACGCGCAGTACGGTTTGAGCGTAGTGCAAGGCGCGGTTACTTTCTAAGATGGCCGCCTAATGCTACATTTTTAAAATCAATTTAATATAATAATATTAATATATAGTATTTATATTTTAGGTAAATCAATCGTCCCTCTAGCCGCGTTCAGGTTCACAGGATGGCTAGCTTCATCTCATTCAGCAGTTAATCCATTGATATATTTGAAAATGAACAAAAGATTCAGGAAAGATTTAAAAGCTGTCTTAGGTTGTCACGACAGCAAGGGCGATACCATCAAACAACCAGCTAATGGAAAAGCAAAGGTTAAAGAGAGAAAACTAAAGATCCCACATGTGTTGTTTACAAATGCTGCGGTAAAAAACGCGAGAACTGACGGAGAAATACCAACTCGAATAAACCCACTAAGAAAAGTAGTTCAAACCGCTTGATATAAATAGTTTACAAATGTTGAACAACCGGCACAGTTTTTGGATCATACCTTGAGTTAGTGCATAATTTATTTTTTTATTTTTTTTATTTTTTTGAGTTTTTATCAAAAATGATATTAAAATCCCGAAAAACAACAAAAGCAAGCAATTGTGATTGGATGGCATGCGTCGCTCTCTCGTTTCATTGGCTACTGCGAGTGCGCAGGATTACCATCCTTTTGAAATCTTCATCAGCGATAATAAATGTACAGACAGACCCCTTGCAGAACTTTTGAATGTAGCACAATCTGGGGGACAAAACAGTAGACTCTCAGGAGATTGGAATTCTTTTGTTTTGTTCCCCAGATCGAGCTGCTTTGCTGTCACATAAGGGGTCTATATGTATTAAGGTTTGTCCAACTGTAATTCCGATACATCAATATTCAACCCATTTTGCTCTAAATATCTATCAAGCACTTTCATGGCATTAGGAGGTGCTTCGAAATGATACATCTCACCACCAGGGGTGTTCATCTCAAGCACAATAAATTTAGGATTTCTTTTTTTCAATTCCCAAAAGAGTTTTTCAAACTTCGTTGTCACTTCTACCTCGGCAATGTGTAATTTTTCAACCACCGTCCCAGGATTTGATACCAAGCTCTCTAGAACTTCATTCGCGCCCTTTGAAGTAATAACATTGAATCCTACACGAAGAACCCTGAGTGTCTCATTCACTTGCAGACCTTTAGCGATGCTTGTCAATCCTTTGTCAGTGATATGGTTGTTGTCTAAATTCAGCTCAAGAAGACGACCATTATTTTCAAGAAATTCAGAAATATGCTCGGCTCCTTCGTGTCCAATGTTGTTCCAACACACGTCCAAAACCTCTAACGAACGGTTCATTTCGAGACCCGAACATAAAAATTTCAATCCTTCGTCACCAAAATAATTCCATCCAACATAAAGCTCACTTAACGAGGTATTTTTCCCCAACATATCGCCGAGATATTTCCCTCCTTTTGATCTGAATGCGTTGTGCCGTAAGTCGAGGACGCGGATTGAGTCGACCGTTTGTATCACATTTGACAAAAATTGTATATCTTTACAGCTCAGATTGTTCCTTGATAAATCAAGATGCGTTAGTACGCTGTTGTAAGTCAACATGTTCGATATGGAGTCTACTCCTTCTTTGCCGATAAAATTTTCAGATAAATCCAGATTTGTTATGGACCGGTTTGTTTCTAGAAGGATAGCAACGGTAGACGCTCCTTTATCTTGAATGTTATTCAATGACATGTCCAAGCTTCGTATATTCGAGTTTCCCGCCAAAACTTCCGTGACAGCAGAGGCGCCGCGCGCGCCAATCCCGAGGTTCCTTAGCACCAAATCTGTCACACCACGCGATAGGTTATCAAGAAAATACGTCATTGCAAATGGCGGAATACCGAGATTTGTGCATCTTTGTAGGAATTCTTCTTTCTCTGATAAATCGTAAACCTCACATGCGTCTTGTACTACATCTTCACGGTCTTGGCGGTCAAGCCGGTAGATTTTCTGAACGCTTTCTGCCCTCGGTATTTCACTGTCATCGTCTTCATTACCCTTCATTTGAAGCTCGTACTTCGATAGAACACGATTCAGATTAATCATTATATTGGTATGACTCACTGCTTTCCCCTGAAATGGCAAATAAATGTCTTGAGTTTGCGTAAGAGAGAAGACCCCGCCATTCCTATATTGAGACTTTTTCATTATTGATGGCTTGACGACGATACGAAACAATACTCCTTTAAACAACACAGCTTCAAGAATGGCAAACGATAAGCATTCAGCTGCCCAGTGTAATAATTCATGCCCAAAAAAGCTTCGAAAAACGTCGCCTTCTCATCCGCTCGAATAATCAAGCTTAGAAATATAATTTTCGTTTTTGATTGAATTTCGTCAGTGGAACTTAGAAACACCGGCTTGGCACTTTTAATCCCTCGTGATGATTTCTCGTGCTTGGACTTTGACATTAGTACGTGCTGTTCTTCGAAAGTGTTGTCACGTTTGCAATAACACAATAAGATTGTGACCTTAGATACGCCAGGATATGGATCAGTCATGCATTATTATTCACTATCGAAACCCAATGAACAGCTCTAAGGTATCTGACAAGCCATAATATGGCTTTAAAAAATTAAATTTGAATATCGAGTTCCGGTTTTTACTCACAAAAGGTTTATGAATCTATAGAAAAAATGTTATGTCTATATATATTATAAAAATGCTTCAAAACTCGCTTCGGAGTGACCAAAATGTTTGAAAGAAAATCCCCACGTGACTAGCCTCAGCCACAGGGTACTATCGCTTTTCACTTGGGGGGGTCCTGTATAAATCTCTCATTCCCAAGCCCCCATAGGTTCGCAATATATCCTGGATGGTCTCAAATCCGTGACATGAAATTTGAGAGTTTCACTGGTGACTTTGACGGTCGATTTTTTGGGAGGTTTTCCTATGATAGAAATTACTGTCCTGATAAAAATGAGTGAGATTTCTACCTTCGGTTCTATGTCCAACACGTGATGAAGCGACAAAACGTTTCCCTACCCCCTCCCGGTTCGTGGGACTAGTACTTCAAAGATCCCAACACCCCCCTCCCCCTACTTTTGTCAGTGACAGGTGGCCGTTGGTATTAATGGCTAATAGATAAACTATCGATAAATCTTCCTTATTATCGCGTATTCTTCAAGACCTCGATAAACGAGGTAATTAACACRTCGTTATGTCGTGTCAGCTCAGCATGTACATATAATGTAAACATTTTAAATTTTAAATCTCAAGACTACTTATTTTTTCTTGGGTATTAACCAGGCGTTTTTCGAAAATAAAAATAAAATCAATCAAGAAAATAATCCTAACRCGACAATGTTTATCGTTGGCTTCAATAAAAATCATGTATGAATAAATACAATGAAACGACAAAACGAGAAGAAAAGTCAATACTAATATACCTATAGTCTTGTTGAATTTTCAACTTCGTGAATATACACAATGTATAATCCTTGAATAACAAAATATAAACAAGTAAGCCACTAACAAAATTACCTATTTTTGAAACCCGTTATATTATATTTTGAGCGGCGAATTAAACGAATTTAGACCGATATGACAGTCCACAGCCTGTTCAAATTTCGACCGAAAAAACCTGATATAAGACTTTCTTTTTTACACGTTCTTAGGCATTGTATTGCAAATAGTTTTTCGATAATTAATTTTCGAAGATTTTATGGTTCTATTCTGCTATGCGCTGTTCTTTTTCCATTTTTTATTTATGAAAAAGACAGCCGTTTTTGTTTTTAATTCTTTCCCTAATCGCTCGTTTCTCTCTTCCCTTTTCGCTGCGCGCAGCATGAAGGATAATCATAGCGTCTAATCATGGTACCAACGCTGAGCAAATCTCCGGCATACATCAATAAAAAGGGAAAAAAAAGATCCTTACGAGAGAAGATGAAAAATTCATAAATCGCATTTACTTACCACTGGCGCAAGGCCGTAATCGTTCTGTTAGTATCTCTATTGTCGGACGAGAAAAACGTTTGCTAACAACATCACGGTTCTATCGTCTTTCTAAACTCAAATCTGCTCTATCCGCAATTCTTGTTACTCATATTATTTAGTGTTTAAGCAAAATTAGGTGTAAAATAACTTAATTATTTTACTAAAATCTTGAGAAAGGGGAGCTCGTTTTATTAAATTGCCGATATACAGCCGGGAAGACTGTTCTTAGATAAGAATTGTGGTAGCCTAGCAACGCGTTTCAATACATTTGATTTTGTTCATTCTGACTTGTGATTGGACAGTGAAGTGTTCTCTCAGATATTAGCCGTTTCGACGTTTAGTTGTGGAAAAAACTGGGTCGAGTTGGCATTGCAGTGCATTGTGGGGCTGTTTTAAGGGACATATTTCCAAGATGGCGTCTATTTCGTTCCCTTCAACAAGTCCCAGAATGCACTATAACTTTCCAGTTTTTTCTCGACCTCGGGGGGTCTAATAGCAATATCAAGAATAAGGTGTTGCTGTTGCTGTTACTGTTACTGTAATCTTGGCTAGTTAGTATAGGAAAATTGATTGATTTATTTTTGTTTGGCGTTGACCAAAACGTATAACTTTTCGATTATGAAAAAGGTCCTTTTAGTGGATGTGAAATAGTCATGGTCTAATGAAGTTCACATCTATTGAAATTACCTTTTCGATAATGAAAA